ATCTCAAAGCTTTCAATATTGCATTGAAACTTAGAAGCATGGTGTTGATATGTAAAAACTGGGCGTGAGCAGTTTCATGTTTTTTCTACTATAACTGTGTCCCATATAATGCGGAAATAATAGTGTATGTTGGAAAATACACAATAGTGTATGTGATACTGAGAATTGAATGCGTTTAAACCTGAAAACTCTTGCCTTGCCTTTAAAAGATCAAAAATTAATTCAATCAGACTTGGATTGTACTCATTGCAACACAGAAAAAGCATTGTTTGTAATATACTGCAAGTATTTGTCGAGCAGAAAAAAATATGGACTTTTATAAGTGCATTGTTACATGATACCCAACAACTGCAGTAGATATTTATACAAGACAAGACAAGAACACAAAGCAAATGACAAAATTGAATAATTGACAAAACAATTCAGAACTAAACATAACAACTAACAAGTACATATCACAACATAGTCAAATTGGTATGGACTCCTTGGTATACAGGTAGTGATGTCATGTGTTTTTAAACGAGTGAGCACATCCTGCTCAACATGTAGCATTCCCCATATATCATTCTCAGTTATGATCAAATGTTTTTGTTCGAAACTTGATTTCAAATTAATTACAATTAGACAACTGTCACTGATCCTGTATGTAGTTTTATTGTATTCCCAAGAAGTGTATATATCACATAACATTGATCTTAATTTGACGAACGCTCGAACATACCATTCTGCGATTTCCAACAATTCTTAACAATATATTATGGCGGAGCTATCGTGATAATATACAATTAGTAAATGCAACTAAGAGAAGATTTGTCTCCCTGTCATCCAAATTTTGAAGTTTACTTATCAAATTGATGTGGTGATTTGAATGTCAGGGGCAATAATACTGAACAAAGAAATGTTTATAATATTTGTAATGTGTTTATTGACAAGAAGGTTATTAGTGACGTTTATTTATCAGCAGACCCTGTTGCCGACCTGATTACGTGTGTTTATCTATTCAAATTGTGTTATGTAGTTTTATGTGATTAAATAGTATGGTTGCCACAATCAAGTCAAATGTCGATGAGATTTTCTGCATCCGTATTAAAAACAAGTTACTGGTTGTCACTGTAATCGAGTTTGCCGAGTCTGTGCTTGTTTATATTGCAATACTAGCTTCGGTGAACATGCCATTCAACATTTGTATTTGCATGATTCATCCTACATACATTGTGTAGTTAAGTTAAAACCCGTGAGTATAAAAAATGATTTGAACTGAGTAAGATATACAATATACAAAACAGCTATCAGTGTTTGTAACAATATATATAATTGCTTTTATTTTAAGAAGTTTGTGCCAAGTTTGAATTTTGTCATCTATTGCTCATATGGAATGTAGCTGATGCAGTAGACTTCGTATTGTATACAATACCATTTTATTTAAAACATGGTAAATTTGCAACAAATTGCTTCATTTCCACGATATGGTTACGAATATGTCAAAATATCTTATTTTTGTGTTTTCAGAACTATAGTTGTTAGTAGACGACCGTTTTTGATCTGGTGCGAATAATATTGTATGTGCGTATGTATTTCATAATATACGAATGATATGTCATAGTAAAATTTTTCAAAAACAAATTCAAACTTACAAATCAAAGTAACGTGCCACAACTACCCATAATTCTTCCACGTGGTTTGAAAACAATCAGCCAACACATGCCCCAAATATAGTTCTATACATGTCAAAATACCTAATTTTATTGTAGTTTTAAACCAAAATAGTCGCCATTCCACATTCGACACAAAACATTGAACGTGCATAAGTATCACATAAGGTATAACGTATTTGCAAGTTTCGAAGTAAATTTATCAGGGTGCGTCTGAGATACTTCTTTGGACGTACACACGGAAGCACGGACTGAATGAGACCAAATAACATGGCCCTATTTTCATTGTTCATTAGATCTATACAATTGCAATCTATATAGAGACAATGTTTGTTTAAGCTGTTTACGCAACCTGGATAATGTACCTGCGACTGACATGCGATGTGACTTGTCACTGTGTAATTGAAGTCTGGAAGGACCACATTAACGTATATTATCAAAGCTGTTATAACCTTGATAATATAACTCACCAGATCTCGGGTATGTTACAATGAAGACGTCATCACATCGTACATCAAACTTCTTTATCTTCTCAATACTATTATTTACAGTTGGCATCAAATATCCATGGCGTAATGTAATAACAGTGGTCCCATGGCGGCTTGGCGTCCATGTCTGCCATTTCTCCGATGGAGACTACAAGCAGCATTTAAGGTCAGTGAACTTGAGATAAATCGTTTCACTTTGGAGTCACCGAAGCCTCATTTGCATACCTACATTCATTCACGCATGTGGCAGTTATATTACAAACCAGTTGAATGTGGCATTATTTCACCAATATTAAACTTTCATTGGCTTAAATTCAGAGTTACAAGTACAAAATTCATGTTTTTATATAAGAATTGATTATTGAAATTCCAGCTATAAATTACACAACTTAATGGATCGTTCATCGAAGTGAACATAATATTTGAGCAGGTGTTTGATGGGTGGAATTTTCTCTAGTAACGAGATGTACTCTCATACTTCCATTTCATTGGCTTAAATTCAGAGTTACAAATACAAAATTCATGTATTTATATAAGAATGGATTATTGAAATTCCAGCTATAAATCACACAACTTAATGGATCGTTCATCGAAGTGAACATAATATTTGAGCAGGTGTTTGATGGTTGGAGTTTTCTCTAGTGACGAAATGTACTCTCATACTTCCATTTTAAAAGAATGGAAATTAACCTTACTTCGCCAGCATGTATTTATAAAAACAAGACATGTTTGATTTCGTAAGTACTATGACTTGTGCACGTACGAATGAAAAGTAACCAACATGATGATCTGTGACATTAAAGGTTTCAATATTGCATCGGAACACTGGGCGTGAACAGTTTCTTGTGTTTCTACTATAATGTGTTTCATATAAGTTGGAAACAATATTGTCTGTTTGAAAATATGTGCAATAAAGCTGTATATTCACAATTAAATATATTTAAACCTGAAAAACCAGCCTCATTTGCTTTCTTTTAACAATAACATATTAATAATAGTGTATTTGACATGTATTTTACAATCCATCAGCAAATAAAAGTATGGAGATATTAAGCACTTTACAAAACTGGTGTATTAGTACAAAATTGATAATTACAGATTTTTTTGCAGAATGATCTTCACTGGATTTATCATTTTTCTCTCAAGAATTCAGATTTGAAATTCTAATTAGGTATAACATTATGCCAAGAAAACAATTGAATGTTTCCGGAAATTCTTTTTTTGTGCAAAATTCGTAATGATAACAAACTAGGGGTATTTGTTCTTATCTATATACGGTGCATATATGTATCATAAGATAGGAAGTTTTAGTATGTTGAAAATGATGTGGATTTATTTTAATCAGTGAATGTGTAAAGCAGGGATGGTCCAGTCTTCAAAGTGGTCAGTATCACCAGATGGGGAAATTAGAGAATGATTTGTTGAGGGGAAGGATATGTTTATCTCGCATGGTACTTCAAATTCAATTAAAGTAGCCAGTGTATAATTAAGGTATCATACGACCAATTAGCCTATAGTTAGTCAATATAAATTCACGGCGTTTTATTTGAAACGCGATGTGTGAGGGCGTACTTCAATTACATGAGCTGTAAAACTGGTGTGTGAAGCTTTGTTGACGAGTACCGGTGGCCTGTGGATAAAGGAAACTCTCTATTAGACACTTCATAACTGGCTGCTTTTTTCGCTAACATTGTCGTCTAAGGAATTCTAATAGGTTGTATGAGCCCTATATGCTACTAACACCGCATGACACTCAGACGTTGTTTCAGGCTAAACCCTCACAGCATCCTTCTTACTGATAATGTTCCATACACTAAGCATGTTCTGGTGAATACAAATTAACACTTCATCTTGTGCAGAACACAGAACTGTAAAAAGATACTATTTTTAACTCAGTTAGACAGATTTACATATAACATTGTAAATTTACACCCTTAATATGTTCGCTAAAATTTTTCGAAGGTTGCTATTCGTAGTGTGTGTGCTGATAACTTTAGTTATTATACTCCGAGCACATTTATTGATTGCAACGTATACTCATACTTTCTTCAATCTAATTACAAGCCTCGTTAAATGTTTCCCGCAATTTGTGCCCTTAATACATTTTTTCATTCAAATTACATCTTCTCACAAAAAATCTGATACGAACCCTGGAACACATTCCAAAGTGAATATATTACACAACGTTAATACACAACCAACAATTCATATTTGGTGGAGGTATGGTGATAATACATGATTATTAAATGCAAGTGAAGGGTATATAAAGATTTGTTTCCCTAATGCTGTTCTCGCTGCTGATCTGAATAGTTGTGTTTAGATATTCGAATTTTGTTGAAAGTGATTAAGTATGGTTGCCACAATCGAGTCAAATGTTGATGGTGTTTTCTGCATCCATATGAGACAGTTTGCCGTGTCTGTGTGTATTTATATTGCAATACTTGCTACTCAAAACTCGGCATTCAATATTTGTGTTTGAAATCGTCCTACATACAGACGCCATTAGTGTAGAATGGTAGTGTAATTTGCATACATTTAGGGTTATTTTATGATTTATTGCATTTAACTCGACTGACTCTACTCCAATCAGGAGACGATATTAAATGACACACACATTGTTCAGTTTAATAATCATGCACACCCTAACATATCACCATATATTATATATATCATAGATATTTAAGTAGTGAAAACATACTGCAGTTTTTTAATTAACAACGAGATATGTGAATTCTGTTTACTGGAACTGTGTAATGCAATTTACATATGAACTAATACACATTTTCTCAGGGTTGTGATAACCAATACGATAGTTTATCATAACAATCAGTCACATTTTATAATACATTAATGTGTTCATTCAAAAATCATATTTCAAATCCTCATGGCCTTTCATTTCTTCGTGGTACATTTTATCAAATGCCTCATTCTGGGCAACAGTGAAATAATTCTTCCAATCTCCAACTTTTCCTATGAAAGGGAAAATAAAAAAAGAAATTCACATCTACAAAACTGTGTGCATAGGACTGTCAGAGCAATGCATGTATTTGTTGTCATATGCAACTATGTTTACTGACAATTATTAAACAATATACACTGATTTCATATACATAAAAATACACAATAATGATCAGTTGTGACACAACCATTATCTCAGTGAACAAATATAAAATCACAATAAATTGGAGTAATGAGTGCAAGAATTACACATTTAATCTGTAGTTATAAACTATTTAACAATAACTGCAATTGATATATTACAACATAAAAAAATATCTAGACACACGTAATCGCCAATCGTCCCCAAGAATTTAATATTTTGGAGAAAGTACATATAAGACTTTTTTTACAAAAACTATCTATCTACAAAAATTATATGTAGAATCTTCAGTGGTTTTGTTTGTAAGAAGTAATTCATATCCATTTCAAGTGGAAGAATCAGTTATCCTTAGCGCCCACCTTATATTTATTACAAAATGCTCAAACATTGAAAATTAGCCATTATTGAATACTGCGTTCAGTTTGCAGAAACAATGACATCCCATAATATTATTTTTGCATTTGTTTATATAACGTTGGGGCGGTTTTTTTTCAACGAAAACTCAGATAAAACATAATCGAAGGCTGGTCAATACCCAACGCGTCCAACAATTGTATACATTGGAAAATGTTCAAATCAAGATTGAAACACACAAACATCCCATATTATTATTAAGTCTGATCGCGTCCATCAATTGTGCAAACCATAAAATCGAACAATCGTACAACGATCCGATATTTTTTATCCAAATTTAGTGTAGGTAATTTGTATATATTAAAGCCTTTTTGCGCAGAGAAGCGCCCTCAGCGTCAATTGTTAGTTGCTACTGAGCACTACCGCCCAGAATTTAGTTGAGTATTCCCTCCCGTCCGGCAAAATATGATGCGATAGGACTAAGAAAAAAGAATATCGTGGAATGTTCGTTTTTTCAGTCCAGATGATAGCATCCAATATAAACTGTATATGATTTTTGATTTGAGCATTTTCCAATATATACAATTGTTGGACGCATTAGGTATGGTCAGTTTCTGATTACGTTTAATTTTGTCTTAAAATTTGTTTCAAGCTTGAGTAAAAATAACGTCCCAACGTTGAATAAACAATTCAAAAATAGTTTTATGGGATGTCAGTATTCCTCAATATTGAATGCAGCATTCAATGATGGCTATATTCAATGTTCAATTTGATCAGTCCGTAAAGAAATACAATAAGGAAGTACTTATTTCATGTATTGTCATGTATTTTGGTGCATTCATACATTGTATCCTTAGGAGATGAAGCTTCTAGTAGTCAATATATAGAGAAACTAGAATTTCGATCACCAAATATGCACAAAACTAATAAATGTGTATTTGATTAAACCAATGTTACTTGACGTTATTTGGTTGCCCGTAATAATAAATAGGCCAATCTGTAAATAAATGTGCACATATTGAACTCACCCTTTCTTACATATTTCCCGTCTTTTTCCATAAAATCTTGAGCTACTGGGGCATTTTTGAAAAACTCTTGCATATATTTAAAATCACAAAAACGCATAACAACCTCCATTTCTTTTTCAGTCATTGTTATTTCCAAAAAATGTGCAATCTTGTAGTATACGCTCATTGGATTCTGGAATATCACAAATAGCAAATTCAAGTAAGTGATTAAGTTATTAATTATTTTCTCTTCAGAATATATATGTTTTGGTATGGTGTTGTTTTCCGAGTTGATTGTCATGAATCTTTCGTATTTACTTGAATTATTGTGGCTGTTTTACCTTCAACATGTCTTCATATTTGAGCCATAAGAATCCTGGTTGATTTTTGTATTTAGACCATTGTTTGACGTTCTCCATCCAGGAACCAAACTCAACTAAAATAAGAATGGGTGCCAAATAATTAAATATAATCAGTTAACATTTCATTTTATTAAATCAACTTTTGTATTTTTAACATTCAAGAGTAGTTGAGTATGAACGCATCGTTATATATCCATCAATGTATTTTTTCGAGTACCTGAATTTCAATTCCTCTGTCATAAGCCACGCTTTATAGCAACGAAGCACTTACGTAAGGATGTAAATATGTGTAAAGTATGCAGATTACAAATCGATAATATTTTGATATAAAACATATATTTTACTGCATTCTGAGCGTTGTTTATATGGACGATACTGTTTACACCAAACTACGTAATTTTGACGTCAGAAAAACGCCTCGTCTAGAAATTATATCAGTATGTATTATGAATGTGGCTTTTTTTACTAAAATAATTAAGTTGAAGAAGTTTTCATCAAGGTATCAAATTACCATTTCCTGTCAGAAATTCTTCAAAAAAATGATCCCAGCTAGTCGGCTTCCCTAATGTTCGACTTGCGAAATGCATGAAATAAAACGAAACAGCCACGTCTTTTGGATTACGCTGGAGATAGATAGTCTGTGAAATAAAAGATGATTCATAATTCACTGGCAATCTACAGCCTAACGACATGAACTAAAAATTGTCAAATCGTCCTAAAGCTTCAAGTGTTCCTGACATTTTTATGAAACAGAAAACAACCCTATGTGCATTGTATTTTCATTTATTTAAACTAAAACAGTACTAGAAAGTACTAACCCCAACCATCAACGTAGACGGTATACTCTTAAATCATCTAGCAGCATTTTTGTATTAAAAAACACATCACACATTATAATTTTATATGGCCGATGACACGAGGTTTTCTCAATTAAGATGACACTCCCCCACTCCTTTGTAATCATTCATATACATACAATACTTAACTTTAACTCTCAACTAAACAAAATGTTGCTACTTTCACTTCCTACAAGTGTACATTTCCTTACTCATTTTGGAAGAGCACGTAATTCATAAAACCATATCTTAAAAGAGTCCGCATATGTAGTTGTTGATAATTGAAACTGAACCCTAGCTCACGTTACAAACACCACAAGCGATCACTTCGTTTGTAAATATTGAGGCAAAACAAAACATATTACAAAACACGATGCAATTGAATAATTAGAGATATACACGAAATATCGAATAAATAAAGCTTTTTGTTCGGACAATCGGCAATAAAGTTAAAAAACGAACTCTGTATGCTGGAATGTGATTGCAATCGTGACATTGAAATCGATTATAAATAGTTAATTCCCAATGTTGATGCCAGATACACGATTATATAATTGGATTAATATTATTGAAGAAGCCGAAATTTTAACTCGCTGTTTTGATCAGTTAATTGAATTTGATTACTCGAAGTTTGACGGTGATGTATTTGGCTCTTTGACACAGTGTTGGAATCAACGCAGTTTCCTGCTCTACATAACCTTAATAATCAAAGATGGCATTTTAGTTAAACAAGAGTGCAGTAATGACATCGGACACACATGCGCATTCATTCATTCATTCATTCATTCATTCATTCATTTTTTGTTAATTCGTTCCTCGTTCAGAAAACTGTACCATATACATGTGTATTTTGTAGCTTATATTTCTGAATACATGTCTTTGGTTCAATAAGTTGTTTATTTCATTACCTTTGGTTTCTTTTCATGATACTGAGTTGGCAGAAATTCTGGTAAAAGGTGTGTTCCAACCTCTCTAGGTAATGATAACGGCCTCGCATTATATTTGTCAATGGCTGAAGTGTGTTTGAATAAATGTGGAAAATCCGGAAACGGTCCCCAAGATAGTGTGATAAACAGATCATCCATAATTGTGTGATCGACTTCCAATGTTGACTTATTCAATGTCATTATTGCTCGTACGGCTCTAGTTAGCCAGTACGTACCTACATCAGAGAAAAATAAAAAAAAAGTATTTATTGATTGTGACATATTTCGAATTTCAAATGATTTCATTCAGCAAAAATGAACACACATGAAGGTATGAATATCTGGATATTATAAAAATAATAATTTGGGCCGTCGCCGAATTACCAAGGTTTACATTATATTGGCATTATATTTTTTCAATGAGTTTGACAAATACATTATCGCTGACATTTATTCATCAGCTGACTCCGCAGCCGATCTGATTATGTGTTAAAATTGTGTTATGAAGTTGTATGTGATTAATTAGTATGGTTGCCACGATCGATATCAAGTCAAATATCCACGAGAGTTTCTGCATCCGTAGTAAAAACAATTAACAGTTGTCACCATAATCAAGTTTGCCGAGTCTGTGCTTGTTTATATTGCAATATTCGCTTCTGTTCACTCGGCATTCAACATTTGTGTTTGCATGATTCATCCTACATACCGACACAATTGGAGTGGAATGTTGGTCTAATTTGCATACATTTGCATATCATGATTTATTGCATTCTACGCGACTGGCCCTTTTCCAATCAGCTTGTCATACTATAATATGAGAGGATATTAGGAGACACTTACACTGTTCATTTTAATATTCATGTGCATCCTAACTTACAAATACTTTATAAATATCATAGATATTTAAGTAGTGAAAACATACTACAATTATTAATTTGACAACCGAAGTCAATACGTGTACTTTGTTTACCGGAACCGATTAATGCAAGCATTTTCTCATCGTATATTTAATTTAAAAATCACAAAGAATGATGAACTAATAATATAATATAATATATAAAATACAAAACAGTTATCACTATTTATAACAATATGCGCAATTGTTTTTGTATTAAGAATGGTTGTTTCATCTGTTGCTCATTTTATTTAAAACATGGAAAATGTAGTTTTTCAATATTTGCAACAGAAATATGCACCATGTCCAAGATCTGGTTACGAATATGTTGAAATATCTTATCCAGTGTTTTTCAGTGTTACAGTGGTCAGTAGTGTTCTTTGATCTGGTGAAAATTATATTGTATGTGCATAAGTCTATCATGATGTGCCCTTTATGTATACATTACTAGCAAATTGCTCAAAGTATAGGCGAATGATATGTCTGAAATAAATTTGTCAAAAAACAAAAAAAGGCTGTCAATCGTCTGTCTTCATTCGAATTTACAAATCAAAGTAACGTGCACCAACTACGCATTATTTTTAATTATTTCACATGGTTTGACAGCAATGTGTCAATATACCTATTTTTGTACAAGCACAATAGCCGGCGTGCATAGGATATGACGTATGTGAAAGTTCTGAAGTGAATTAGTCAGGGTGTATTTGAGATACAGCTCTGGACGTACACATGGAAGAACGAATTGAAAGAGACCAAAGCACAAGACCCCGTTTTGGACTTTGTTCTCCGTACGAATGCAGACTAATTAGTGCATACATGTTGCATTAGACTGGACATTGCAATCTATACAGAGAAAATGTTTGTTTAAGCTGTTTACACGACCTGGGTAATGTACCTGCGACTGATATGCAATGTTACTTTTGACTCAGCAATTGGATTTTCCAGGGTTAGCGTAGATTATCAACATTATTTATAACCTTGGTAACATAGCTTACCAGATCTCGGGTATGTTACAATGAAGACGTCATCACTTCGTACATCAAACTTCTTTATCTTCTCGACACTATTAGTTACAGTTGGCATCAGATATCCAGGGCGTACGTAATAACAGTGTTCCCATGGCGGCTTGGCGTCTATGTCTGCCATAGTATTGAATGAGAATAGAATACTTCCCGATTGGCACTACTAGCAATGCAGAGACATGGATTCACGTGCAGTAAATTGCAACAAGATGAAGAATTGCCCTATTTACTGTACTGAGTTGCTAGAGGGCGTGATTAGTTAGACAGGTGGAAAGACTTTTAAAAATGTAACGGGTTGCTCCAGCCACTAAACATATGTGGTCGGTACGTATTTAAAGTAGTTATCGACCTTACAAACCTATTTGCTGTTGTTCACAAAATTCATCATCAGTTATATGGTCACCAAACTTCATTTGCACAAAAAATATGTCAAACACCCATCGCCATGTTTCCATGTTCGAGTACATATGGCTGTCTCCAATTATTGTGAACTTAATAAATGATATGAAATCATGCTTTAACACTAATTTCTATGGAAATAATTCCAAAACGTTCCATTTCGCATGTGTTCGGACTGACAAAGTTACTGGGTAAAAAATCTGATAATAAAGACGATAAATAATGTCTAAATGATAATTATGTAACATATTTAAAACAAATAAACGTGATATTTGTTACCCTTATTTAAGCTTTGACAGTATATGCTACACGCAACATGTATTGTTTATTGGTTAATTGACACCAGCTTATATTAGAGCCAACAATTTCCGGCCATTTGATTTAGCAGTTTTCTCAAACTAGTTCGGGAAAAACGAAAGAATATTAACAATAAGTGCCCCAGCCCCACTGGTTTATTATGTAAAATGAATATGTGTACAAGTTGCGGTCAATAGTTCTTTATTTATTATTAGATTATTAGTATACATCTGTCACCATAGCGCCATAAGGTACAGTGAGCCGTAATTTTGCGGTATTTTACGGGGTATTTTCATCCAACCATATTAGGAAATGGGAATTCCAAATACGGACGCGTAAGCCTTCTTCTGACAATATAAACAAACATGGCTGCCACCAGGGTTGGAATCCACATAAAGAAGTTCGCTGATTTTGTTCTAAAATTTTTTGGATTTCGGCATTCCCATGATGTATCATTGGGAGGAAAAGATGAATAAAAATAAGGTTATCACGAGGATACCGAAAAGTATGCTCTCGGACAGTGCGCCGTCGCATTGATACTTCCGCTGTACTGCTCACAAAATGAGGCAAATAATAAGATGATTTTGATTCATGTCTAACATAAATAATAATCAAAACCTTTACTGGTTTCCTCATCTAGAGGTAAGTGAACACCAACACCAGTCCAGTGCTGATACCTGTCGGTCAAGCATTCACTAGAATCTTATCATACCCTAGAAATAACGAAACATGACAGACATTCACATTCCTGCCAAATATAATTAGTTTGTACCTGTGTACAAGGAAACTTGTCCAGTAAATTTCATGAGATTACATCTATAACTTGAAGCTAATCACGCTGGTTATAATATGCCAACTCGACGATTACAATTACTTTTTGTATATGGCATCACTCTCTTATATTGAAATGTAACTGTGCAAACTTTTAGGCATATTTCAAAGAATATTCCTAAACTATTGAGACCTTGACCTAAAGGCTTTTTTTCTTTACAATTTGCTAAGATTCTGTTTTATGGTCAACTATTCGATTAATGATGTAAAACATAAAGGAAGTTAACCACAAGCAAGGTTTTTTCTTGTAAACATAATTTTTTGTAGTGTCACAATGTCGCAAATTGTATTTTAAAAATTATAAGTTTACTCACTAGTTTACTATATTTGTACAATGAGACACATTTTATTAATTAAAAGGACCTGTCCGTTTATTTACAAACATCACATTTTATGAATTTTAATCATGTCATTACTGAAATCATAAAATTATACTCGGGTTTACACTACGCTGTACATGTACTCATACTACATATCAATGTCAGATCTTGACAGTCGACCACGTGACACGTGAATAGTCACGTGACACAGTTTGCCATTGGCGCTGCAGGTGCAGGTCGGCGTCTTCTACACAGCGCTTCCTGTGACGACACAACGACAGTTTACCTCACATCTTCTGTTACGCCATTTTGTATAGCTTGTAACATGTCAGCCGAGGAAGCTAAGCCGCCCTGGAACCACTCCTATTATATGTGGCCTGGGTATCTAATGCCGACTTCATCTAACACCGTTAAGAATATAACACACTTTGAAGTACGCGACGACGATGTATTCATCGTCACATATCCAAGATCTGGTGAGATATTCATACATTGTTGCTTGAGCGGTGAAGTGTTTATGTACAATTCCCCACTGTGTGACCTACACATCTGATTGCACGCCTCAGTCATTGTACCAAAGTTGAGTTATCATTGCGACTTACCTATACAAGCACTCAAACCTATGACCCCAGTGAATTGTATTCGTTATATCATTTGGCATTTGGCAACTGTTGTGATTTTTTGGAAAAGCCCCGTACAGGTTCTTTTCAACTCAATTAAAGTCAGATCTAATTAGGCGTTTTTTTATTTTGTATTTGATTTTAATTAATTCCTTTGATGTTATGATTTTCTTTCAATTATATCCGATAATCACTGTATAAACGGCCTTATCTGAATGATTGAATATCTGATTATTTGAGTTCCCACGAACGAGATCATCTATTCACACTCTCACAAGCTGTTCTTAAACCCAGATTTACACCTGGATTTTTAGATATGCTTTTAGACGTGCTTACATGCATTCCGTTTCCTATGCACTAACTAATTCAGTCAGTTGAAGTTGAAGTCAGTTGCTAGAGTTTTCTGCTAACAATCGAACTGTATATCAGGTAATCAGTAGATCAGTAATTTTGTAGACTAATCACATCTTTTTGGGTAGAAACGAATGACCGGAAGAACTAGATACCGCAATTTACATCTCTGCTTCAACTTGATGATAACAAATTTACCTGGCATACACTCTTTTGTCATTACCATCAGTGAATGCCTGTACATACATATAGTGGTGAATCACTGCAGATCTGTCATTAATCATATATTAACAAGCTATTGGAAAACGCAAAACTCACTCATTTATCTCAGGAATCTCTCTGCAGATAATTTGTCTATTGGAGGTAGGCAAATAAAATCACAAACTTTTGTCAGTTTCAATGTTTCTCCTAATCTAGCTTTGTTGTTTTTGCAATAATTAACATTTTCCTCGTAAAGTTGCTCAATAGCTGCATCTTTGCGTGATCTGACCCCAAATAAGAATAATGTAATTTATACAAATGGTGATAGAATGTAATGATAATGACATTAGCTAAAAAGACTGTGGCGAACTGATAGTCTCTGTGTTATTATTATCATCATTACACCCCACTCATTGTAATCATATCATCACATTCCCAGATTAGATCCTATTATTTCCCTACACTGTGTAAATGAACGTCAATAAAAAAATTAAAAATAAAAACTAATTTGATTAACAATTTTGATGCAAATGCCTAATTGAGTCACGTTTCTTAACTTTTAATTATTAATTAATTATTATGCATTCAAACATTATTTCTTTTCAATGCAGGTACCTACTGGACTACAAGAGTTGTAAGAGCAATTATGACATTGAATAAATCAACCATGGATGTGAATCACGAAATTATGAATAACCTCTTTTTTACTCTACATTGGGGACCATTTCATAACTTCCCTGATTTAATCAAACTTGGTTCAGCTATTGATAGATATAATGAACGATCGTCACCAAGGGAGATTGGCTTGCATCTGTTACCAAAGCTTCTACCCACTCAGTATCACGAGAAGAAACCACAGGCATGTATTTAAGTTATACATAACATGTCATAATAACGCAAGGTTATTACAAGGATATTGCAACATCTGAACTCAGATATTTACTGTATTCATGAAAACTTTGCACATCCTCCCAATCACCTTATGTTTTACTACTCCCTAGTGAATTAGAATATGTTGTTTTACGGTTTGTACTAAAACAAACGAAACAGTTTGCAACTAAGTAACATTAATTCTTATATATGTTGCTTTATAGAGATCCACCTATCTAGTTTTGACGTGTTTACGTCAAGATGTTCTGTATTTGCTTTATTTCACGCACATGCTATGAGGGTTTGCTATAAAAAGGAAATGGCGTCATATAAAAACCATATCCCAGGTCAGTAATGCATATACCCCATGAGTGACACGTATACTACTATACTACAAACACTTATTCTACTCTAAATGATCAGAAGCATGAAAACACGCATCAAAAACATGTCAGGTGTTTAAATTTAAAATTAGCATATGAAACACACTACATGTATAACATTAATCGAAGTTATAATCAAATACTTTCTTTCTGGCAATGCAAATATAGCTAACCCTTTATACGAGTTAAAAATCTATTTACGCGGTTCCTCCACTGTATGTAACTAATCAGTTTCTATGAGCCAGACAATGTGTCGTACTTAGCAGAGCAGTCTCTTCGCTGCGATCTCGAAGCTAAAATCAACGACTCATTTTCAAAAACATTTTGAACTCCAGTGAAAAATAGTACCTGCCAAATATGTATAGATGCTGTTGAAGATGAGACTCATTTTCTGGTAGTTTGTCCAGCATATTCCAACCATATTCGAAAACCACTTTTTGATCGAATTAACTGCATTGAACCACAATTCGAGCTCCTTTCAGTAAACTTATATATTTTTTTTTCTCTCAGGATAACCATGAAATCATCCAAATTCTTTGAAAGATTTGTATACACAGCTTTCCAGATTAGATATAATTTGTTAGTGTGAGTTCTCCAATAGATGAGTTATAATATTTTAGTTTATTTAGGCGATTAAAGTCACGCCTGTAACTTTTTTTTATATGCATTGTAACCTGTTCCCCCAGGTTAGTGGAGTATATTTCTTTAGAGAAATGAAAATAAAATAATAAATAAATATAATTTTAATAATTAGATAAACTATAGGAATTTTGAGTGACTCCTTCACAGTATAGTTATGCCATATATACGTTAGGAAGCTGATAGGGAAAACTAACACGTATCATCAGTTACCAACAGACTATTGTTACAGAAATATTTTTAAATGTTATTTGAATCATCGATATATATTTACTGTTTAACTGATAAACATGATTACAGATCAATCCTTGCATGTTTTATAGTCCGGGAAACAAGCAAAAGTTAGAGGAATTATATATGGTGCTTCACTGTTATGCCGATTTTACTTTATGAAACTAATTATAGATTAATCATTAAACATAATCCATCTGTGGATTGGTTTTACAGACAGTATACATCCAGCGTAACCCGAAGGACGTGGCTGTGTCATGTTACTTCATGCATTTCGCTTGTGCAATTCTTGGTAAACCAAACAGTTGGGATCATTATTTCACCGAATTCTTAAACGGAAATGGTAATGGTAAAGTACTATTATATTTTTATATCTATATTTTATTGATGTAAACACATTTACTTGTATACTTTCCCCGTTAATTAACAGTTGAATTTGGGTCATATTTTGAACACATTAAACAGTGGTCAAAATATAAAAACGAGCCAGGATACTTGTGGATCAAGTATGAAGATATGGTAAAGGTAATAAACGAATTTTGAGTTGTCTAGATTTTCACATGTTAAACAAAACAGTTGCATTGCATTGCATCTCTTTCATTTGAAAATGTGGAGAAATTTGAAATGTAGTGTCCCACACATCTAAAGTAAATATTGTTATTATTTCAGGATCCACGAAAGATATACCACAGGATCGCGCATTTCTTGGAGAGACCCATGACTGATGAAGAGATGGATGTTGTTATACGTGTTTGTGATTTCAAATATATGCAAGATTTCTTTCTTAGTGACCCAGTTGCACAATATTTCATTGAAAAAGATGAAAAATATATGAGACGAGGTTAGTGTGCCAGTATCTAAGACAGAATAGACTAGAATATACTCTCTGAAATTGAAAATATATCCTTACTAATACTTATTTTTATTTCTATTCCTATTCTTATTATTTTGACAATTCACAATAATATTATAAAAGGTAATCATTGCCCTTGGTAATTATTCAATACAACCAGAAGCTTCAGACAAAGTATTCGTTCTCAATGACAGATATGAATAGAGATTGTAGAAAAATAAAATATAACACGCTTAACGACTGGAATGATAGCAAATATAAATTTGAATGATTTATTGGCTCATAAAGGAGAGAGGTAACCACGGCTCTATTCCATGTGATCTTCCGAAGCGTAACTCATGGTGGTTTATTATGGATTATAATAAGTGTATTATTTTGGGTGTGATTAAAAGTTAGATATGATGTGTCACTATTAACTGAGTTTATTGTATTGCAATGTCATAAATGCGGTAAATCTTACATTAAGTTATTTCCGATGATTACCATTATTCTGGTTATTTTTTCATTTTTCCATTATCTCAATCTGTTCATATCTATTCTTAGGATACTTTGTCATAAATGTCTATTTATATTGAATAACCGGTCTTAGCATATTTGACCAATTTAATCATCTAGGAACATCGTGAACATTGTTCTAATTTGTTGAGTTATCAGTTAAAAATCATTTCCATATTTGTAGTTACCATAGCAACCAGATCCACATACCAAAATCTTGGTGACTAGTTATTGCGTGGGTAAAAGTTGGTCATTGGTCTTTGTGTACATTGCAAATCTCGTGGAAATTGCGTGATAAACTATCGATAACATAAGTTGTAAATAAAAAGTCATTCACAAATTGCTGTTTTTATGGGAACTTGTTCTACATTACTACCAAAATGCAATTTAATAGAAATGTGTCAAGGTCAATCCTTTCTAAAAATGTCATGGGAATTCTTCAACAACTTTTAGAGATATCAAACCGAACGACAAACGACATAAAACATCATGTTTCATTAAATAAATCAATGAGTTTATTCTTATTATTTAGGTAAAGTTGGTGACTGGAAAAAATATTTTACTGTAGCTCAGAACGAAGCCTTTGATAAGGTTTATTGTGAAGAAATGAAAGGTTACGAAGAGTTAAAATACGACTTTTGAATTGTAGTAATTGTAGTAATGTCATTAATTTTTCCGACTTGTAGCAGGTATATTTGTAACTACTAAATGATAGTCGATCATTTAAATAAACTTCTGATTTTCTTTGGACGCATGGAGAATGATGATTGGCTATGAGTTTTATTTATGGTAATGAGGATTGATGAATGATCTGTGAAGCTGGTGAGCATCATCTTGAATTTTAAATTTATATTTCAACTGAAGTTGGTCAACAAAGACATTTATCTATTAGTCTATTATTAGTTGTACTGAGTATTTTAACTGCCCAACCGATGTGCGTCAGAGTTGTATGCTTAGCCCTTCTTGTTTTTCTTTTTTATAAATGAATTGGCACACGAGTTACATTCTGGGGTTCAAAGAGGCATACAACTTTCACCTGATTTGGTTGAAATTATGTGCTTGCTTTTTGCAGATGATGTCGCTTTATTTTCTGACACTGTCATTGGCTTACAGCGACACTTTAACACATTGAGTTCTTGAAACTAAAGTGATTGTATTCAAAACTGGGGGTCAACTTTCAAAAAATGAGAAATGGACTTACGATGGGGAACAAATCAAAGTGGTGCCATATTATAAATATTTAGGTTTTATTTTCTCAAACCGACTTTCTTGGTCTGAAGCAACAAAAATATTATCCCAACAGGCAAAGAAGGCATTTTTCAATATTACCAGAGTTACAAAAATTACAGGTAAGCTATCCTTTGATGTATTTTTAAAATGTTTGACACTATGGTGTTACCAATATTAACTTATGGTTCCGAGCTTTGAAAATCATTTATGTTTGGAACGTGTACAATCTCTAGCCTGTCGTTATTTTTTGGGTATCTCCTGCAATGCTCCAAATGTTGCAGTATTAGGCGAGTGTGGCAGATTTCCTATTTATTTTCACACAGCATTAAAATGCATTAGGTATTGGACAAAATTATTAAAAATGCCAGAAACCCGTTACCCAAAGAAATGCTACCTTATGTTGTATAATATTGAACAATCCAATCTTAGATCCAGGTTAACCTGGGTTAGTCGTGTTAAAAAAATATTATTTTTATGCAACTTAGATGATGTTTGGGAATCACAAACTGTAAATAACGTAAATGTGTTTTTACGCATTTTTACGAAAAAAATGAAACAAATTCTTATACTGATTGGTTCAGCCAGTTATGTACTTTAGAGAAACTGACATTTTATAAGGAATTTTCTTTGGAACCTGAAAAGTATTTATTTTGTGTGAAAGTGCATTCTCATGTTCAAATGTTAGCTCGAATCCGCTGTTCATGCCACTATCTTCGTATTGAGACAGATAGAAAAAATAATGTAGATAGGAGTGAACGCATTTGCTTGCTTTGTAACAGTAACAACATTGAAAATGAATACCATTTTTTACTATTTTGTTCCTTAATATATATATTCCTGCTAACTTTTGAAATTGCGAAAAGAGCTACAAGAATTGTCAATTGTTTGAAAATTTTAATTTTATTTTTATTTTTATATATAAATAATGTATGTAGATATTATGGACCGATGGCCTTCTATTATAAATAAAGACCACATATATATAAATAGTTTTATATGTTTTGGGGGACATTCTGTATGAGTCAGATGTATTTGTGTTACTCCGTATGCAACAATACTAAAGTCAAGACAATAAAATATTAGGTAACACTTAGTAAGCTTTTCAAAATAAACGAGAATGACAGAGATCTTGACGATTTGGCATAATTTAAATGTATCCAAGACTAGTAACACTGGATGTTGATTGCACCAACTACCTCTGCAGGTTTTACTTTGTCGGATGACTTTGTTGGCATTTTAGTACCACTACATATGCTGCATGCTGATTGCACAAACTACCTCTCCGGGGTTTACTTCTTCAGGTGACTTGGTTGACATTTACGGTACCACTCCACGCTGCATGTTGTTTGCACCAACTACCTTTCCAGGTATTACTTCGTCAAGTGACTTGGTTGGCATTTTCAATACCACTACATGCTGCTTGCTGATTGCACGAACTATCTCCAGGTATTACTTCGTCAGGTGACTCTGTTGATATTATCAGTAGCACTCAACGCTGCATGCTGATTGCACCAACTACCTTTCCAGGTATTACTTCGTCAGGTGACTTTGTTGGCATTTTCAATACCACTACATGCTGCATGATGATTGAACCAACAATCTCTCCAGGTATTACTTTGTCAGGTGACAATTAACATCGCATCAATTAATTCATATACCTCTCCATTACAGGAAGAATTGCAGATCCGAGGAGTGACGGGCTGATCAAAATGGATATGCTGAAGAACGCCATAATGAACACAATAATTTTTCAAAAGAACTTTGGCTATTACAGTAAAAATTAATACATCAAATGGTAGGCACTAGTTCAAAACAGGAAGCTCAAGAAAATAGTCAAACAAATGATCCATTCAACCATAACTTTCGAAACACTTCTCGACTCCTCCAATATTGCGGAAATCAGTGCTGTAGTTAGCAGCACTAAAACGCAAGCCATAAATGACAACATTCAAACAGTCACCATTACTATCTCCCCCTTTTCTAACCCAAATCATTACCAAATCACAATGACCAATAACTGCCGAGAACACCAGTAGCCATGGTAAGGAATAGTATAAGCAACTATTAATCAATAACACTTGAATCTAAGTTCCGCATTATTAAAGTGCTGGAACGTTTAGTCTATCGTGATATTTCTTGCAAAGAATACCAGGGAGACACTATCGCAAACTACACAGAGGGGAGAGATATGTTCGTCAATGTGCTCTGTTGACATTCGTCTTGTCAACTGAAAGTTTTGAAACAAGTTTATTTTGACATTCTCTTAGAGGAAAATGCCTGCAACTTTTCCAGTAACTCTCGCTTGTTGAACATTTTGTTCTGAAGCTGACGCTCTCATTCCACATTTCTGTACGTGTACACACTGGCAAGATGTAGATCAATCGTCTCTGCCACAACAAATTCGATTTCTTTGCATATCGTATTTCTGTTAATCCCGCAAAACAGTCTCCTCCGTTTTTTAGCTCCGCTGTCGACTTTGTTGAGCAGAGCTTATCATATGAGTGATTGTCCGTCGTCGTCCTTAATCGTCCTTAAACTGAAAGTCTGAATGCTTTGATACTTGGTGTATATGTACCTCTCTTAGATTTTATGATATCTTTATTTCTCTAATTTTGGTGAATAATTTTGTAATTTCTTAGTAAAAAGTGATATTGTCGAAGTTGCTTTGATACTATACATACTGGTACTTCAGGTAAGCCTCTCTCACATTTGTTCATATGTTATATGCTAGTTTATATTTTATATTTGACTGCCACAAACAATGCACGCTGTTCTAGACGATTTAATAGTTTGCTTGGTTCTTTTGGTTGAAGTGACTGTATTAACGCATTCAGGAGGTCAGAATGAATTTGCATACATTAAGTTAATATAATTTATTTCGTGACATCAGCATCGACTATGAATTATTTATACCAACTAGAAACCTGTAGACGGGACAGTCTCTCGGGACTGAAGTCCCTCTCGTGAAATGCATTTCATATCAAGCTTCTTCGGCGTGTGAATGTTTAGGATGCACAATTAAATTAGGCCCGAGGCCTGTCGACAGATTAACATGAATGTTATTTTGTGCAAGTTATATCATATCAACATCTGTTACAGATGCCTAGTCACAATGGGACCACTAGATAGAATCTATAATTATTTTGTTTAATTCTTTCATCAACACATTTGCGCATCTGCAGTACACCATGGTTACAATATTAACGCCACTGTTGATGGATAATCCTACGACAATCAACACAATTTATCCCACATTGTGGCTTCGGCAACGGGTCCAAGAGTAAAAAATATGGCGCATGTAAATATGACGCACAGTAATTACATGAACCATAACGTATCAGAACGCCTTGTTTTATAATGCAAAACATGTTATCACTGGGTCACAGGTACCTCCCCAAAACAGCATCAGTACCCGCTAATCTACTGTTAGCTATGTCCAAGTGTTGATATATGGCTGCTGTTACATTAATGTTAGCCCCCCCATTCATTCTAATGTACAGCCGAATGGTTGGTCCATTCACTAACTCTCGCGATCACATGCGGGGAACATAAATCTATTGTTGTTACCACTATGACGAATGTGCTAGCTAAACCGCCATGGGACCACTGTTACTACGTACGACCTGGATACCTGATGTCAACTGCAACTAACAGTATTGAGAACATAAAGAACTTTGAAGTGAGAGATGATGATGTCTTCATTGCGTCATATCCAAGATCTGGTGAGATATCTTCAGTTTGATATAACCGTCAACCTTGTATATTTTTGTATTGCATGACCGACAATAAATTTTAAAATGGACTTATCAGGTTTTTATTTTTCGTGACCGCTATATCACGTTACATGCGTGTAAGATTGGTACAAAACAGAGCGACGTGGCAGATGTTTGAATTGTGAAACAAAGATACACTTTTTTTTTATTTCTGGTTTGCAACCAGGCCCGACTCGATGACCTGTATAATGTATACCTTACACTAATTGGGTTGTGTGTTCGACGTGCAAAGGTCAAGTGACGTACCGATCACGTGTCAACATTGGTCGGTGTCAAAACTCGGTCATAATAGCTGTCCCCGTCCCGAGCTAGTTATTTGTTCACGTCACGTTATTGACGTTTACGTCACATGATGTATAGTTTGGTCAGTAAGTGTACAAATGCACCACAATACCAGAGCTCATTTCTGACACTGGGTTTATTTGCATGGCAGAAAAAGAGTGAGTGGCTTTCAGCCTTGTCTATCCCACAATACATAACATTATGCGAAATATATCTATAAGATAAGAATAGATTCCTATATAGACGAATCCGAGAAGCAGCTGGCGCACACGTGATAATAAAATAAATACGATATTTACTATATGGGGGCCGCCCATTTGAATGCAGCATAAAACTAAATAAGAGAAAAGTTGTGAAATGCGTTTTTCAGATTTCTATAAATCTTGACAAAAAATACCAATCTTTCACAAAAATGCGGTCCTATGGGGTTATATTAAGCCACCCGGCGTTTTTGTGTGGAAAAATCCCTTAAATACGAACACCTATTTACCGGAAGAACATAGAACATTTTTCAGGGGTATTTGAAACCAAAAAATGTCATTCCAGCTCAGCAGCCAATCAGCGACGGCCTTACAGTCAGATGACAATTTCGGTATCGAGTGGAAATCTTTCGTTAGTGTAATATTGTTTTGATCAAATTTTTATGCCATAATTTTAACTAGTGTCATATTTTTAATGTTTTTATGATCATGGGAGGGTCAGGGAAAAAATGTAAATTTCTAGGATGCACGAACAGCGATAGAACTCTGAAAAAATGGAAACAAACTACGTGCAAAATCCATTCACCAAAGACACATGATGAGTGCGAATGTAGGCACTCCCCGGGGGGTGTACTTGCACAAAATACTGACAGGGGTGTGTAGCTGGTTGTTTGAAACCCCTACCCCTTTATATCAGACAGAAATAAACTCAAATTGCCTACCCCTTTTTAGACAAACTGTGGATATTTGACACCCCATTCCTGACAGTAAACCCGGGGGTCAGTCACTCTATGTGCCGTTACTTCCCCCCATGTGCGTTTTAATTTAGCGGAAAAGCGGGGTGTTTTTCACCTTCTAAAGCGGGTCCGCGCAGGAAGCAAATATGCCTTTTTAAAATGCTAGTGTCTGCAATAGGCCCCCAGAAATAATCTCCCAGGCGCTTGCAACAGGATTTATGGTTAAGGGAGATAGGCCTGGGTAGGGTTATATACTAGTATACTATAAATAAAGACAGGGTGTGAATATCGATATAAGATATCAGAGATTCTTTGTATAAGGTCGATCCCAAAAAAAATCACTGTTTATTTGACGCTGTGTTTAATTGTTTAAAGCCAACACATTTACCCTGATTTTGGGGGCAAATTAAACCCTTTATATCTCAAACACGGCTCAAATTCTACAACCAAACTTGACAAATTAAGTCCCACGTTTCTGTCTATTTTATGGCATGTAAATTTGACAGCTTTGTTTTAAATTTAATTGTACACTCAGTATTCTGTAACTAGACTGATCGCATTGAATAGAGACAAAAACATGTTGCTTTGTTCCGTGGGGAGGGGTATATGTGCACATTTGTCTTCCGACCGCTAGCGTACACATTTTCATTGAGATAATAGCACATTCTGGCCGGCTCAGGACTTATTTTTGAATGATCATCGACCATAACAGTACTGAACAATTTAGGTCTCCCCGAGTACAAGTTGTCAGAGTCCCACATGAAGACTGTCAGGTACATACATTTCTAAAATTTCGTAGGTGTCTGAACCTATAATAGCATCTCAACATAGGATTGTCGGAATATAGGGATGTCGGAACAAACGGAAATAAATCATGTTTTACAACAATTTCTCCACAAAGTCAAAAATCCCAGCTTTCGCCATTCTCTAACATCGTCTTCCCAAATATCCATGGAAATAATCGTCGGAAATACGTGTTAAATGTTTGTAGGTGAGTTTGTAGTGGTGATAATAGTACGAGTTCACATGTAATTAATAAATATTATTATTATGTGATTTGTTATGGGACGCCATGACTGTGAGTGGTATATGCCCCCAGTAATGGCGGCAACGTAAGAGAGCGTACTTCCGAGACTGTGTTTTTATCTCCAATTAGCGGAAACTGGCCGTGCAACCGGGGCCAAGTCCAATAATGTTTCGCCGTTCACTCATCCGAAATGTAATAAAATAATCAGGCAAGACAGCTTTGGTGGCGCTCCATTGGCCCAACGAATGGGTTTTTGCAGTTACCTCCTAAGTGGTCCGATATACTACCTACCTGTTTTCAGTGGTACAGAGTTTTTCAAATCCCCAGTCAATGTTCGCTTGTTGGAATCTGACTTCCTAGTTGGTCTATTGTAAGTTCGTCTGTACTGATAAACTCCCGACAGTCTCGGTCTATTATTCCCTCACTACTGACGGTGATTGGTTATCATATGGTGTCAAATGTCAATCAGCACAGCTATAAAGGATACCCGATTACTGATTTTTAATGTTAGCAAAGCCTTGACACATTCTGTTCTAATTTTCTGCAGGTCACACTACACACTTCTCATAAACTTTGTTAGCGTTATTTTCACTCTTACTCGTTTGCTTGTCATCGTTATGTCATTGTCTTATCCCATATCTACAGTAACATTTTAAAACCAAAGCAAGATGAATTGACCAGCAATTAGCCCCGAGTAATGCAAAGCCTACGTTCATAACAACTTAAAACCTTACATTGTCGGAATATTATGAAGGCAATAAATATTAGTTGTTGTTGTTTCAGAAAGATTATATACCAAGGAATGTGTAACAATTAGGCACACAGAAAAGCTCTACCTCAAAATCAAAGTAGAATGAATGTATTCATTGTTCGTAATGTATATAGACAACTTAAATAAACATGGGTTTTAATGCTCTGTTAGTAACATTGATCTGGCAGCAGAGCTTGAATGCTTCGCAGATCAACTCATTTTGTACATTTGAAGGATCAATACACATTGTTTAATAATCGACAAACCTACATAAATATTTTAGTGTATGCATTTTATCTGTCGATTAGTGAATTGCACCATTGTTGTTCAAATGCAATAAATATGTTTTGACTACAGCTTTTTTTCTTTTGAGTAGGTACATACTGGTTAACTAGAGTTGTACGAGCAATTAAGACATTGAATAAGTCAACCATGGATGTCGATCATGCAATTATGGATGATCTGTTTTTCACACTATCATGGAAACCCTTTCCGGATTCCCCAGATTCATCCAAATATTCTTCAGCCCTCGACAAATATAATAAATGCTCAACATCATCACCAAGAACGATAGGATTTCAAATGTTACCAGAGTTCTTACCAACCCAATATTATGAAAAGAAACCAAAGGTAACGAAATACAGTTTTAGTTATAAAACAAAACAAACAAAAAATTACTTCCCAAATCAGTCTGATGAGAAGTGTATTTTCTCAGTAATTACATGTTTGTGGATAAATATAATTTGTCTTTTAATGCGTTAGACAATTTCCTTTTTGAAATAGTTTTTACACTTCTTAAGACATCCTGTCATAGTGATAATTACTCTGTATGTTTAAAAATGATCACGGTCTCATCCCGCGTCAAAGTGTAAAATCTCAACCCACGCGAAATTTTTTTATTTATTAATCCGAGAACAATCAATTTACTCATTGTCTCATTCGTTTATTTATTATCTACTCATTTTCTGGCATCATTCTGGTGTTCTGGTATTTTACAGACAATCTATCTCCATAGAAATCCCAAAGACGTGGCTGTTTCGTGGTATTTTTACCATTTAACCTCTAATTTTTTGGGAAAGCCGACCAGCTGGGAGCAGTATTTTGAAGAATTCCTGAAAGGAAATGGTGAGTTTTTTATTGTGTTTGTAATAATTCTCCAACTATTCAAGAATATATGTAATTCATGTATATTCTTCTAACCATATCATTGAAATTTATGTCAAGACATAATGTCTCCTGTTGTTAAGATCTTTATATGACCAATTCAGGTAAATACAGTCAGAAACGTTTATATAGACAAAACTAAAGCCACAGATTTCAAAGATATGTCAATAACACCTCGTCAGTACATATAAATGCTAATCCACTCTATATGACAGTTTGTAAATGTGGTCAATCAATTGCATTTGGATGCATCGACTATACTATAAAATTTGTATACATATTCTAATTTTAATCTGGGAGTATTTCTAGACTTCTCAAGGTCATTTATTACCATTAACCACAGCATACTTATTTCAAAATGTCAACTCTATGGCATCCGTGGAATCCCTTTTAGAGTGGTTCTCTAACTGCTTATCCAATCATTACAGTTCATCATAGTAACTGGCTTGATCTCACCTACCCTTCCTATAAACTATTGTGTTCCCCAAGGCGGCTCCAAATCGGATCCTTTATTACTTTTAATCTATATAAATGATATCCAAGATTCATCCACATTCTTTAACTTCAATTTTGTTGTTGACGACTTCAATTTTTGTTATGCTTTTAATAAATTGTCATTGAACACTGCTGATATTGATTTTAATTTGATTTATGTCAATACATGGTGCCAGGCAAATAAGCGCACAATCAATGCAAATGAAACTAACTACATGTATTTCTCGTCGGCTCATGAAAATTTAAATAATAAACCTGAGCTACATAAGAATGGCGCCATCATAAATGAAGTAAACACTACAACATATCTTATTTTAACTATGGATTGCAATCTTACGTGAAAACCCATATCAAAAAGGTATCAACAAGATCTCACCTCTAATTAGCTTAATTTCTAAATTGAAACATTTTCTTCCAAAGTTTACCCTTGTCTTACTATATACAACCATAATCTTTCCACATATTTCATATGGGCTAGAAGTTTGGGGTAGTACACACCGTACATCCATTGCCCCGATTTAGAACTACAAAAATAATTGTGCGTATTATAACTTTCAATGATAAATTTACTTAAAGCTGACCACTCTTTATTTCACTTGGCATTTTACACATGTATGACCTATTCAAGTAACAATTATGCACCTTCATTTCTGATCTCCATTTTCATCGACTTCCTTGGAAGCTAAATGACTACTTTCTTTTATCCAAGCACGCGTACAACACTTGATTCACTACTAAATCAAATCTATCGTATCACCTAAAAAGAACTAATATCGGTCAATTGTCCTGGGATTTCCAGGGAACCAAAATGTGGAATGAGCTTCCAATGCATCTAAAAATGATAAAAAGTCCTTCAATGTTTAAAAAGAATTGGAAGCGACTTATAATGACATCAAATTAGTGAATAAAACAAATCATTGATTAACTTGTTGAATGACTAATTGATCGTTTTATTATTTATTTCTGTTTTGTTTGTTCATTTATTTATAATTTATTTAATTCATAATCATATATATTGTAGGTAGCACCGCAACATTTGACTGTATATTATTTATTCCTATATTTGGTAGTAGATTTGACTAGCATCACATGCTAATTTCTACTTTTCTGTCATTTTACATTTACATCTTACACTTATTTCACACCATTTTCTTCCACTTGATTTGTATAAAGTGTCTTTATTTTCGTTGTATACTTGATTTTGTTTTGTATTCATAAATTAATAATGTACTTTGCAAACAAATAATAAAGAAGTCATAATACCATATAAAATCAAGCAGTAAATATATAAAAAAATAGTTATGAAAACATAGATACAGATTAATATTTTCATTATGTGTTTGTTGCAGCCTTGCATGACTGGTTAATGTAAATACACTAACCAGTCATACTAAAGTACAAGGCATACATGACTACTTTAGTACACTCTTTGCAGGTGATAAGGCAGAGGATAACTTTGCTCTTGCAGACGAGTTCCAAGATCTACTTAAATTAGTTGACGAATTTCAACTTAGCATTATGGAAATTAATTGGGATATCTTAAATGGGCCTATCACAGCTGACGAAATTAGTCATAGCATTACAGTTGATTGGCGAATTCTTTAAAAAAATCTTTTTCTACCTTGGCCCCTTTATAAACATAAATTTTAACCAAATATTTGAATCAGGGAAATTCACAAATGTCTGGTCAAGAGCAATTGTCATTCCAAATATAACTAGCAGCCTGTCGGCTGAGATAGCTCCGCTTATATCAATGCACATTTAAATTAAAGAATTGACGATATCATCGGAAAATGAACAATATGTATAGTATTATAGCAATCGGACTTGCTGTTTTCAATAAAAATTCGAAAATATAACTTGTTATCAAAAATATTCATTAAAATTAGATAATTGAAGAACAAAATCATCATGAAATGAACAAATCTGAGAGAGGTCCACATGTAGTACCTATATATGTAATATCAAAGCAAGTCGAAAATATAACTTTTTACCAAAAATGACAAAAATATTCGTTATAAATAAGACAATTGAACATATCCACACGAAATGAACAAATCTAAGAGAGAACCACCCAAGGTACCTTTCTAGGAAGTTTCACAGCTATACAGTGTGTGGTTTTAAAGAAGAAGTTGAAAATGTAAAGTTGACGGCGACGGCGACGACGACGGACGCCGACGTACAATCAGTAATACTATAAGCTCCGCTCGACTTCGTCGACAGCGGAGCTAAAAGGGTCCGCTGATGACCCGGGGAATTATAGAGCAATTTTCGTGCTCAGTATATTTGGTAATTTGCTTACTTTGATACTAAATAGACGGCTGTATTTTTTGGCAGAAGCACTTGGTAAGATCGACGAAGCACAGGCGGGATTCAGGAAGGGTTACCCATCGTTTGATAACATTTTTAGTTGCAGTCAATTATTCAAAAGTACATTACCAGAAAACTTTTATTGTGCGTTCGTCGATTTTTCGGGGGCTTTTGACATTGTTGATGGACGAAGGTTGTGGTATATTCTGTTAAAGGGGGTATACACGGGAAAATGTTTTAAATATTGTCCAGCATATATTCAAACGTGAAATCTTGTGTCCGCATCCCAAATGGAAAAACCGAATATTTTGACTGTCCCAAGATTTTGCCAATTTT